TGTTCGAACGCCGCAAAGATATCCCCGCGGAACCAGATTGCAACGAGCGGCGCCGTTCTACCAACCGGCTGCTTAAGCAAAGCCTACGCAAGGATCGCGAGACATGGTGGTCTGAGCGTGCTTTAGAGATGGAGACTGCTGCCCTCACTGGTAACACTCGTAGGCTTTTCCAACTCATCCGGTCCACTGGCCTCAGGAAGCCTGGTGTCAGTGAGGTCATTTGTGAGGTGGATGAGTCTCCGATCACCAACCAACAGAGGCGTATGGACCGCTGGGCCGAGCACTTTCACTCGCAGTTCAACTGGCCTCCACCATCCATCAGTACATGCAGTACACCTTGCTGTCCACCCTGGCTCGTCCCATTGAATCCACCCAGCGAAGCAGAAGTCTGCCTCGAGATTCGACGCTTGAAGCGCTTCAAGGCTGCCGGCTTAGACGGACTTCCTCCGGAGCTATTCAAGTATGGCGGTGTGGCAGTCATTAACCAGTTAACCGCGCTGTTCGCAAAAATTTGGCATGAAGAGAAAGTGCCTTCCTCTTGGGGCGAATCAATTATTGTCCCAATTTTCAAGAAAGGTGCTCGCACTTCATGTGCAAATCATCGCGGGATTAGTCTTATTTCGGTTGCCTCTAAGTTGTTGGCATCCATTCTACTTCGTAGACTATCCCCAGTACGTGAATCATACTACCGTGAAGAACAAGCTGGTTTCCGTCCTGGCCGCGGATGCGTGGATCAAATCTTCACGCTCCGCCAACTCCTTGAACATCGCCACATTTATCACAGGCCCACTATCGTTGCATTCTTAGACATACGTGCCGCTTTTGACTCCGTTGATCGACCTGCTTTATGGCGTTGCTTACTAAAGAACGGGGTGCCAGAGAAATATACCGCCATCTTACGAGCACTTTACCTTCATACATGCGGCAGAGTGAGGGTCTATGGCAAGCTTTCCTCGCAATTCGCTGTCAATAGCGGTGTGCGACAGGGCTGCCCTATGTCCCCATTCCTCTTCAACTTCGCAATCGAAGACGTTCTGTCGAATGCCCTAGAAGGTTTCCAACATTTTGGCCTAGAGCTTCTACCGGGTGAACGCGCGACCGACTTAGATTATGCTGATGATATCGCCTTACTTGGTGACGATCCTCAGGGTATGCAACTCATTCTGGATCGTTTGGCGGTTGAAGCATCTAAGTATGGCATGAGCTTTGCCCCATCGAAGTGTAAAGTACTGCTCAAGGATTGGCTTTCACCTGCACCCGTGCTCACTCTCCAAGGTGCACAACTTGAACAGGTAGATAGTTTCGTCTACCTTGGGAGCTGTGTTTCCGCTGATGGCACTATCAACAAAGAAGTTTCGCTTCGTATCGCTAAAGCTCGATCAGCATTTGTCAATCTGAGGCACTTGTGGCGTCGTCGCGACGTCTCATTCTCACTAAAGGGCCGAGTTTACAGCGCGTCAGTTCGCTCAGTATTGTTGTATGGGAGCGAGTCCTGGCCGATTCGCGTGGAAGACATGCGTCGTCTTTCTGCGTTCGATAACGGTTGTTTAAGGAGGATCGCTCGTGTCCGGTGGCAACACCGAGTTACCAGTAATGACGTTCGACGTCGCATCTTGGGGAATGCAAGTATTTCCTTCAACAAACTGGTTTTGTTGCGCCAGTTAAGATGGCTCGGTCATGTCCTACGCATGGCACCTGAGCGTCTACCGCGTCGCGCTCTATTCGCTCGTCAAGGACCTGGCTGGAAGCGACCGCGTGGTGGTCAGCCTTCCACTTGGCGGCAGCACATGAAATCGCTGACGTCGCGTCTAGCCGCTGTTGGACCCGTACGTCTTCCAGGATGGGGACCCAAAGATGAGGAGTGCCAATGGCTTAGGACTCTTGAAGACATGGCCCGCAACCGGAATCAGTGGAAGAATTGTGTACAGTGTTGTATTGATTCACATGTTTAATTTTACTAACATTGAAAATGACAAAAAAAGAGAAAAATCGGCGTGTGACAAACAAACTAAAAATGTTTTGTTCTGTATTTTTGCCAAAATATTCCATTTTCTTGCGGCATATTAGCTGAAGTGTGTTGCCCACCTTCAACTAGCATGCCACGATGATTATAACGCAATGACTCTCCTATCCACTGATTTCCATGGTTTTTATTGGCTCTATGTCTAGTTACTAGACTGCTGAGATTACATTACACCTATGAAGATTCTGAAAGACTCTTAGCAGCATTTTAGCTTTATCTCTGGCTTCCACAGCCTGGCTGCCATCTTCCATAATTAGACACCCAACGTCCTCTCTTAGGGAGGCTTTAGACTGAACATAGCCATAGTAACACTTTGGATTTGTTTTCGCATACCGGGCCAGCCGAAGCTCATAAGAGTATTTAGCCTGCCGTTGCATCTTGATAGCCTTATTCCGGCTTTTTGTGTACTGTAGCCATCGACGAAAGCCCCTGGCCTCATTGAATTTTTTCCACTTCTCATTTCGTCTCTTTAGAGCTCTATCAATTCTCCTCCTCCACCACCGAGGCTTGCTGAAGTGTCTCGCAGGACGAAGAGGAGCAAACTCATTCAATAGTTGTACTAAACCAGTTTTAAGCACAGACCACCTTTGTTCCAAAGATGCCTGTTCCTTGTCAGGGATCCCAATTGACCTGGAGGGCTCTATCCCTCAATTTCATGTGGTCAAGGCGGCTGAAATTTCTCACGAGGCGAGGATGTCGTGCAGGCTTCAATGTATTTAGGCAGAAAGTGAGGACACAGTGATCACTCCTACCTAAAGGTGCTTCCATTTGTAGCTCTGCGAAACGACCGTGTTTGGTGATGGCAACATCCAACGTGGAGGGGGCACTCCCGATTCGGCTCCTGGTCGGTATATTGATGTATTGTTCAAGTGCATTCTCATGCATCCAGTCAACCAGTTCCTGTTCCAAGGTATCCGCTCTGTTTGCGGTGCCTTGCCAATCCGCATGAGGAAGGTTTAGATCATCAACTATTAGGAAATTAGGCGCAGCAACCACTGCGCGCCTCAATAGTGCACCGAGCTCTTTGTCCTCCTCTCGTGTGGACGATGGACTGCGGTAGACACATATAAAGATCTCCAACCTGCCCATCATCCTTAAGTAACAAGACACCACCTGAACGTTCGTATTACTCATCATAAACGGAGCCTCCCAATGACTATACTGGCGCTTTATAAGCAATAGTGCTCTCCCGCCAGTGTGGTGATCAGGCCTATCTACTCGGTAACTCACGAAATCTACCAGCAGGTCGCTAACCATGTCGCTCGGAGAAAGCCATGTCTCTGTCAAGGCAACAACATCAGCACATCCGCAGCGCCTCACCATCTCTCCCCATTTGTTCCTCACACTGCAGCAATTGGTATACCATACAATTAGTCCTGCTTGACGCGGTTGTTTCCCCTCGGGCGCAGCACCCGAGGGGACAACCCGTTTTTTGACGCCGCGTCATTATCGTTCGCCGCCTGCAATGCTGGGTCAAGATTAGGCTCTTGTAGGTCAACACGAGCAGAAACCTTGTCAGGTTCCGTCCGACTTGAGTTGTTTCGTAAACGACCAACTTGCTTCTTTCTCTTTAACTTAGAAGGTCTAGCAACGCTGTCTTCCGAATTTCCTGCAAGGTCAGCCTTGGGAGATTCACAGCGCTGGTTTCCCATACCGATCAGCGAGATGCACGTAGTGTCCTTGAGTTCCGGAGCAGCTGACATTATGCGAGTGGCATCAAATAGTCCTGGATGCGCCACCTGTAAGCTCATGTCCGCAACCCCGCAACTTTCCCCGGGTAACAAGCTGGAAGTCGTACTTACGTCCAGTGAAACTTTGGTCGTTGTTACATGTAACTCACGACTTATTCCCTTTGCAACCTGCATTGTTTGAGGACTCGAGCAGACAACTGCCGCTGTGGTAGGAGTGCAGTCCCACCCAGTTCCTTTTGGTGTAATCATGGCATGTTGCTGACTGACTCTGACCCCAGCGGCCGGAGATGCAGGGTATACAATCACTCGGCTGTAAGTACCTTCGGGTGAACTAACTTGTGAGGAAGCACCTTTCGCGGTACCTGCATCTGATACTGAATTTGTGGTGTGGTAGTTCGAAGGAACGACCTCCGCTGCAGTGGGACAATCATCTCTGGTAGGCACTGATGCAATGCGGGGATCACGTAAAGGAGCACCCTTAACCAAGGGCGCAGACACGCCAGCCAAGCGGTTATTAGTATCTTCCGACTGACATACCCGAGGGACCTTGACTTGTGAGCTAAGTGTGTCCGGGGCCACCTGATACCGGTCATTAGTTTGACTCTCTATTAAGCCGGCTCGGTTAAGCATTTGATCACGATAAACAGGGTTCCTAAATTCAACCAGAATCGGCCTAGCAAATCCTTGCTGACGCAGTGGACCAGTCTCTCTTCAGCTATCTACACGATGCACCCTTTTGATACCGACGTTTAAAGGTACCCCGGCTATGCGGAGGATGTCGTGTATTCGTCTCCTGTCCAGGTCTCGTCGAGTCTTTGCATCGTGTATCACCGGCTCCTCTCGATTGTAGATAAGAACATTTCTTTGCCTGCCCATGGAAATCTCCGCATTCCGAGCGTAGCTATTTAAAGAATCGCGCAATTCGTCAATCTTCACTCGCAGTGCATCTATGAGCAAAGCCTGGTCGCTGATCACTTTTTCTGCGGTGGAGAGCCGCTGCAGATACTTCGAGTCAGCTACCCTCTGAACATCAGGCAACTGTGGAGGAGCAGCAAGCCGCTCGCGTAATAAGCGAGCACAAGTATCAGCTAGGCACACACAGTGAAAACAGATCCACTTCAGTTGGGGATGCTGGGTGTACAGATCAATGGACGAATGGTCTAACCTAGAGCAGATGCTGATACCATAATAAACATCGGTCACACTGTATGCCTTCCGTGACTGCAGTGCCACAACTGTGCTCGCCACATTTATCGTTAGTATCAAGAGCCATAGTTATTTGGAAGGTTCAAGCGGGTTCAAGTTCAAGCGGGACTGGAACGATAGGATAGATCCCGTGAGTGTTCCTTCTTCGGCGGGTCGTTGAACCAGGAGTTGGCGAACTTTGAAATACTGATGGACCTAAAACAAAGACCGCATCACACCCTGTCCAACCAATTAATGCCCACGTATCCTGCCCTAGCAGTCCCTGCTGGGTCGGTTACGTGAAGTAAGAAAGAGAAAAAAGTAAACGCAGGAGGCAAAAGAGAAAGTGGTAAGAGCTAAGCAAGTGGAATACCAAGATATTTGAGTCAATAAAAAAAGAACTGAAAAATGAAGGTGAGTCAGCTAGGAAAAAGGAAAGGTTTGCTGTTGCCACCCAAGAGCATCGAGCTGGCGCGCAAAACCCTTAACCGTAGGTTCCCTAACCACGTGATCTGGAAGAGAATTCCAGCGATCTATAACTCGGCGCGATAGACGAGTTTCCGTCCTAATCCTATCAGACCGTGGTTTATGCAGTTTCAGTGGGTGACCGCGGAGACTAGGTAACGTAGCGGGACTAAAAAGCCCTGACAAGTCCGGGCCAATCTTACCCGTCAAAATACGATAAGTGAGAATCAGGTCCCCTCTTATCCTTCGGTAGTGCATGGAGTACATACCCAAACTGAGCAAGCGTTCAGGATACGTCTGTCCCCGTAGACCCTGCACTAACCGAGTGCCCACTCGTAACACCCTCTCCAAGTCCATTTTGTCTCGGTTAAGACATGGTGGACAAGCCTGAATACAATATTCCAGGTGGGGTCGGACGAATGCCGAAAATAGCTTCACAAACAACTTGGCCGTTAAGATTCCGAAAGAGCGGCGGATAAACCACATCATACGAAACCCTCGACAAGCAGCCTTCTTCCAGTTGTCTCCAGAATGAAGTGCTGATGCGTGTACGACTCCTAAATCAACCTGCTGAGTGACAACAGGGAGTTCACCACCGCCGAGGACATATCGGGTGGGAGGATTTGCAGCTCCGATTCGGAGAACAGAGCACTTGGCCCTATTTATGGGCATCAACCATAAGATAGACCATTCCCAGAGTCTATCCAAGGCACGCTGAATTGCCTCAGGACCCCCCGGGATATCCACAATATTCCAGAGCTTAAGGTCGTCAGCAAACATTAATGATGACACCCCTAGCTCTCCCGGCAAGTCATTTACATAGATCGCGAACAACAATGGCCCCAATACCGAGCCCTGCGGAACGCCACTAAGGACAGCTTGCCTGAGCGAAAGGCTACGCCCCACCCGTACGCACTGTTCCCTCCCCTCAAGGAAGGCAGACACCCATTGAAGGGCGCGACCAGATATCCCGTAAGATCTCAACTTTAGTGAGAGCCGAAGATGTGGAACAGTGTCAAAAGCTTTCGAAAAATCTACGAATAGCACGTCTACAGCGTGGCCACTGTCTACCGCTTCGGCCCAGCTTTCACGAGCTACAAGTAAATTAGTCTGACATGAAAATCCTTTGCGGAATCCATGTTGTGCAACACTGAGAAGGTTGAATCGATTCAGGTGGTTCTCCACTGAATCCCTTATCAGCTTCTCGAACAACTTGACTACTACGCTTGTCAAACTGACAGGCCGGTAGTTCGCGGGTAGAGCGCTGTCACCGCCCTTAAAAATCGGACAGATGATTGCCTCCTTCCATTCCGAAGGTAGGCTGCAGCTGTCCAGCGATATTGAAAATACGCACGTGAGCGGACCACTCAGCTCAGTGGCCAGTTCATGCAACAGCTTCGGATGAATTGAATCAGGACCGGAAGCTTTAGAGGGATTAATGCCTTGCAGTAGCTCGAAGACCTGAGTCTCCGTTATGCTAAATTCAGCTAAGCAAGAATCCTCTGGAACTCTTGAAACCAATTCAACCTGCGGTAAAGAGGTCTCCCGAGCAAAGACCGCAGTATACTGATCACTCAGTATACAAGCCTTGTCATAGTCAGTTTGCGCAGGGGTCCCGTCTGCTCGCAATAAAGCTGGTATAGACAATTTTGCCCCGCTGCGTCTTTTAACGTAAGCAAAAAACTTCTTGGGATTAGCTGCGGCCGAGTCCGCTAAACCCTGCTCGTATTGGAGACGAGCAGTTCTGAGATGTTGCTTACATTTATTTCTATTCTCTCGATAACTATCATAGGTACTGGCTGATGGAGCTGCTTGGTAGGTTCGCCAGCATCTAGACCGTTTCTTGAGTAAGTACTTGCCTGTGGTATCTATCCATGGAGGCTGTGCCCTTAACCCTCTTTTCCTAATGAGTGGAATATAGGGTGCGGAAACCTCCGTAAGGTATGCCTTAAATTTATCCCAGGCTAACTGGACAGAGTCAGCCATCGAAATCTCACAGTTCAGAACTGAAGCCTTAGTTCGCATTGCACTAAAGTCCGCCCGCCAAATATTCGGAAGTAATTCAACAGCGGTCTCTTGGTGCCTTGAAAGAGCACATCGAAAGGATATGCATGCGTGATCGCTGGACCCTAGAGGTGCACCGCATGAAACGTCAGTCACGAAGTCCAGGGACTTAGCGAAAACCAAATCCAAAGTAGATGGCATTTGGTTATCCATATACCTAGTGGGAAAGTCAACGAACTGGTGCAAAGGCACTTGGAGAGTCAGTTCAAGGAAGTCTGCACCGAATGTTCCTAATGCCGAATTGCAAGAAAGATCGGCCCAACAGACTTCCGGGAGGTTGAAATCCCCTAGAACTAAACACTTATTCGCAGACTGAGTGCGAATAAAGTCAAGTATCCCCCTGGAGGAACTTCCAGGACTTCTGTATACCACTATAACTGTAAACTGGGTAGAGGAAGTGCACAAAACAGCCGATAGGGCTTCAACAGTCTGATCCGACGACTGGAATGTGCAAGTCCTCAACACATCTAAGTTACAGCTCACATACAGTACAACGCCTCCGCCTTGGCGACCAACGGAGCGATCAGTTCTAAGCAGCGCGTAGCCAGGTAAATATACCTCACCGTCCGTGATATCCGGAGACAACCACGTCTCAGTGAAAGCAAGTATGTCGGGACGAGATTTGTCTACAAGTAGACCCAACTCGTGCACCTTGTTCCTTAGGCTACGCACGTTGCTAAGTACTACCTCAAGGAAGTCGGCACGACCATCCCTGGGTCGTGCGCCATCAGGATTGGTTCTGATAGGGCGGAAAGTAATTTCCGGCTGACCACCTGAAAACCCACCAGACGGAGGCCTTGTTCACCAGCCGCCCGTCTAGTTTTGAGGTCTTTGATAGCCTCCTTTAACTTCAACCTATCTGCCAGTGGGAGGTCCGGCTGAACGCTGACACCACTACCCTTAAGTTTGAATGCAAATCGCAGTAACGATTTGCGTTCCTCCGGGGTAGAAAGGACTACGCGAAGTAGTCGGGGTCGTGGATTTGGCGTAGCGATAGGAACGTTCCCCAATCTGGTCAGCTTTCTGACAGTGACACCAGGGAAACCAGGTGGAAGCAGCTTGCTGACACACAGTTTCAGCCACTTGATGTCATCCAAGATGCGTTCCCTTGGGAGAACAGCCTCAGATTCAGTAACGTTACGGAATATAACGCTACTATCCGTGAAAGAGTCGGCACGACGGGGAGTGTTTACCCCACGTGCCTTTGATTCGACACCTATACCAGCTGTTTTCACCACTGGCGGTGGGACTGTCGCTGGCTTCCCAAACGACGCCGAAGCAACGGTAGCGTAGGTTTTCCGCTCTATTGCCGGCGTCTTACTGGTTCCAGGGTCTTCAAGCCCCTTCGAAGTTTTACGAGCAGATCTTGTCCGCTTCTTCTTTTGGCTCACTGGAGCAGGGGCTGTTGACTTTGTATCGCATTGGGCAGTTACCAGCATTTCGTCAGAACAGGCTGGTTCACTGGCGGCCGAGACAGTCAGCGTCTGTGGAAAGTTCTGTGTGCAATCTTCAGACGACTTTACGACTGTCAAAGACGGCATCTCGTTTCGATGCCGTGGCAACTATTTCTCTGGGTTTAGCAGAGGGCTTTAGGTATTTCCGCACCCTATTTTTCTTCACTTTGATCGGATCATGAGGACCGCCAGCAATGCTACCTGGATTGGCCGGTAGGATGTGCGACTTTATGATCGAGTGAGAGACTCCAGTGGATGGATCGTCAGCAATGTTGCCGGCTATTGCTGTGTCTTCAAACGAAATATTTAGGGATTTTAAAATTAAATCCATTTTCGTATCGAGCGACGCAATAGAGGCGAGTTTAGCTATCGCCAACTCAACATCTGCCAACCTTGAAGCCAACGCTGAAAGTTTAGCACCGGTGACAGCCGGGCGCGTCGATCTTTTAGCGCAGCATTCAGCGCAGCTGAAAAGAAAGTGGACGCTTGATGATAGCATTTGGTACTGGTCAGCTTGTAGGCCGGTACAGCTTTCGTGATACCAGCGGCAGCAGACGTCACACTGCATACCACCAGATGCATCTGTTACTGGCTCTGAACAGTTAACCTGTCCGCAAGCTGCAGTAGACTCATCAAACGAGGACCCCATAGGTCCATCCGTCTCGGTGTTTAGCGAGACAGCCATGTTCATGTGGAAAACAGATTAGAATAACAACACGTATACAATAGGAAAACGACCGCAATAAAAAGGCAAAAACAGGGTGTAAAACGGGATTAAAACTGGGAACAACCGGAAAAATTACCAGTAAGCGTCAAAGACGCTTGGGCCAGTACCAATTTAATCGATCCAAGATTTCTTGGATCAGAGAAAATTTGACAATAGTCAAATTTCGTTTCAAGTGTTTATTCAAACACTGTTTTCCACGTTATTTCAGCTGAAAAGCTCGATCAGAATGGCACGCCAAAAAATCCAGTTACCGCGTAGTACTCACAGGACAGTTGAAGGACTGTTGAAGCCCTCTCGGCTATTGTGTGCACTTCCTTTGCTCAGTTTACAGTTGTAGTGGTATATCGAAGTCCTGGTAGTAGCTCCAGGGAGGTTATTGAATTTATTCGTACTCAGGCTGCCAATAGGTGTCTACTACTTGGTGACTTCAACCTCCCTGAAGTCTGCTGGGCTGATCTATCTTGCAGTTCGGCGGTGGGCACTTTCGGTTCGGATCTCATTGAGCTAACATTGCAACTGCCTTTGCATCAGTTCGTGGACCTCCCGACTAGACATATGCGCAACCAAATTCCGCCTACCTTTGTTATAATCTTCTCACTAGACGCAACTCCAAAAATAACAATTCACTGCTCCGCAAAACTTCTAGCCCAACCGAAGGAAAAATGCAAAACGCCAATGACCCTGACAAATAACGTATTAATCGCAGCCAACGAACACTGCACAACGGCTGAGGACCCTGGCTGTATTTATAGGTCTCTGCTGACCTTCGACTTCTAGAATTGCAAGGTCAGCTGCTAAGGTTAGTGGTTCCCCATATCTTTTCCCGAGAGGTCAGGTGGATTTTGATCACGTGTAGAAGAAGAACATTCAGGAACGTTCGAAATCGATGCGATAATCGTTAATATTCGATTGACCGATAAAATAAGGGAATTTCCAAGGCAATTCTTACTTTCTCCCGGACACCTCCTCTCCTGAGATATGTTCCAAGGTGTAGGAGGAAAGCCTGGGGTTAACTTGCAGTCTTCGGGACGGTGTTCTCTGCCTGTCGGTCCACCTCCTTGGCAGAATCGCCCGAGAACTTTGTTCCGATGTTCTTGTTCTGGATTCGTTGCTCGACCTTGTGCAGTCGTCCAATGTTACCTTCGGCAGGTTAAAAGTTTCCACCAGTAAAGCGAACGGGAGGTCAGTAGGCCTTTCTTGTCTTGGCTGGCACAACGTGGGACGTAACTGGTTTGCATGCGGCGGCCAGACCTGTCCGCCCCCCTTCACGTCATACATGACGTTTACGCGCTTGCTTTTTACGGTCCCTGGCGTCCATTTCGCATGGCCTTCCCGGTAGTCAGGTGCTAGCACCTTCTGTCCAAGCGTGAAAGAGCGCTTCTTTGCTCCATGCCGCCGGTTAAACTGCTGTTCCATGCTGCGGTTTCTTTCACCAACAGAGGACTCCGAGCCCGGTCGGATGGCGTCGAAAGGCATGCGGAGCTTCCGGTTCGTCGTGGCCTGTGCTGGAGAGACTCCGCCTGGTGCTTGTGGATTCGGTGTTACTCGGTAGAGCCAAAGGAACCGGTCAACCACCTCCTCTATCCGTCCCTCCCCTTTTGATTTGTGGAGAGATTGCTTGAATGTGTCGACAAATCCTTCTGCCTGGCCATTCGACTGTGGGTGAAACGGCGGCGAGCGAACGTGCTGGACGGCGCATTGCTTGCATAACTCCTTAAACGCTGCTGAAGTAAACTGTGAGCCATTGTCAGTGACCATCGTCTCAGGACAGCAGAATCTGCTAAAGGCTTGGCGCAGTTTCGATATCGTGGCATTGGTGGTGGTGTTATCCATGAGAAATACTTCTGGCCACTTGCTGTATGAGTCGACTAAAATGAGGAAAATTCTCCCGTTGATCGGCCCTGCAAAGTCGACATGAATGCGGGACCACGGCTTAGTAACTATTGGCCATGAACAGAGTTCTGCTTTCGGTGGGGCTTTCAAGACATTGGCACACGTATGGCAGCGGCTGGCTATTTTTTCTAACTGTTTGTCCATTATGGGCCAGTATACGTAACTGCGGGCAAGCGCCTGCATCCGATTGAATCCAGGATGCCCGGCGTGGAACTGTCGAATAAGGCGCTCCTGAAGTGTCTTGGGGATGACCACTCTTTCCGTAAATAGTATGCAATCGTTTACAATAGAGAGTGAGTGTCTCCTCTGAAAATACTGTTGCAACTCGGCGGATGTACATGAACGTGGCCAACTTGTTTTGTGAAACTGGGTAACCTTCTGGAGTATTGGGTCCCGAAGTGTTTCGGTCCGTACAGCTTCTGCGGTAACTGGTAGACAGTGCAGTGCATCAGTTACCAGAAAGTTGACATCTGGTTCAATCTCCACCGAGGCAATGATTGTGTCTTCATGTTCTTGCTGACGGGTATCAATTAGGCGTGACAGTGCATCTGCTTGGCCAATGGAAACTGTCGACTGATATTGGATCTCGAAATCATACCCCATTAAGGTAAGAGCCCAACGTTGTAGCCTGTTGGCTGCGTAGGCCAGGATGCCCTTTTTCGAAACAAAGATAGAGAGCATGGGTTTTTGATCTGTCAGAAGCTTGAAGCGGCGGCCGTATAGCATTTTGTGGAATTTCTTAACCGGGGGGGGGCGTACACGATGGCCAATGCGTGTCTTTGTACTCAATCTGACCTGTCGTTTCATTCTCGCCTTGGTAAGGGTTTCGGCGGCATGGGCGATTGCTTTTTGAGATCCAAGGCACGCCCATGGAGGCATGATCAGATATGTACAACTGTACAAATATTTTATGGCAACTGTGACAGCAATAGTAGAAAATTGGTGGTATGTTCGTGGTAAAATAAATAAATAGATAGTTTATTCTCAGCTTCATAGAGACGCACCAACTTAGGCATGATCAAGGTTTAAAACTGTTGTGTATCACGACGATACTCCGGGTTCAATCGTGTATAGTTGAAACGGTGTCAAGAGGAGTTGAAATGTGAATCTAGTCGACTTGCCAGTATGTAGTTGTGGGCTGTGACTTTATTCAGTGGCGAGTCACATCCGCCACGTCGCAGTGTTGTTAAACAGACATATGTGGCTTTTTATAGGGAGAACGCTTGCCAGGCGAAAACCCACCACGTCCTGCAACACTGCCGTAAAGCATTTTGAACATTAATGTTGAACTGGCAAAGCCGCTTGACGACTGGTTTCACATTCGGTTTTTCGCGGGGTAATGGCTTCTAATTTCCTCTGTTAGTTGGACGGGTATTTTGCTCTGGGTCGCCATGATTTTTTGGGGTCGCTGGAGGAGAGGGACATCGCGATTTTTCTTCTTGTTGTATGTCCAGGTGAGCAAAAGTTTCAATTTTTCCGCTGTTCAGATTTTTTCAGATGTATAATGTATGGGAGTATGAGGATGTGTCCAGTTCTCCATACTGGACAAGGGTTATGATGATTGTAGGTTGGTCCTTGCGGAGTTTTACTATCCTCCATGTCAGTCCTTG